GGGGTACTAGCGAGGTTTGCAAGCTGCCTTGCCAGTTTCCTTGAGCAAATCGGTGATGTATTTACTGTGAGATATAAATATCCCTTTCTCGGAGTGGGCAACTTCAATTCCCAAAAAATATTTTAGTTTTCCCAAAGTCTTGATCTCAAATTTCTTGCCTAAGCATTGACTCAATAATTGTTGCTCTTCTTTATTATCTCCGAGTTAATATTATGTCATCCACATACACCAATAATATTGTTACTCCCCCGACTTGGAATGTTTAAAAAACAAAGTATGGTCCCCTTGGCTTTGTTTGTAACCCAGACACTGTCATAACTTTAGTAAACACTGCCAAACCATGCACGGGGACTTGTTTTAACCCATATAATGCCTTTTTCAACTTGCAAACAGTGTTGGTAGCAACATCTTTACCATATCCGGAGGTATCTCCATATAGATTTCTTCTTCAAGGTCTCCATGTAGGAAAGCATTCTTAACATCAAATTGTTCCAAGTTCCAACCATAATTGGCGAGCAAGGGACAATATCACCCTAACTGTGTTCATTTTGGCAACCGGAGCAAAGGTCTCCAAATAATCAACTCCATAGGTTTGGGTAAACCCTTTGGCAACTAGTCTTGCCTTATATCTCTCAATTGATCCATCAGCCTTGTATTTCACTGTATAGACCCATTTACATCCAACTGGCCTCTTTCCTATTGGTAAGGTGGCTAACTCCCAAGTGTTGTTTTTCTCCAATGCCTCCATCTCTTCATCCATGGCTTGCCTCCATTTTCTGTCAGACAATGCCTCAGATAGGGTATTAGGTAGAAGTACAGTGTTTAGGTTTACTAGGAAGGTTTTATGGGTAGGAGAGAAATTTTTAAAGGACAGGTAATTTGAGAGAGGGTAGAGTGGCTGTTTGGTGCATTTTCTTGTTCCTTTTCTAATGGCAATTGGGAGGTCAGGATCATTTTGGGTTTCAATTTCAACCTGCACAGCTGGAGAAAAAATTGTTACCTCTTTTTGTGGAGTCGAGTTGGATTCCTGAACATGGCTTGATCCTGGAATGGCCTTAGTCTTCCTTGAGTACACCAGCTTCTTATCAAATTTTCCAGTTTCAACATCTTCTTGATCAGCTTCACAATTAATTTCACTTTCTTGACCAACTTCCTTTGCTTGACCAATTCCTTGACTTGTTTCATTTGTTACAACTTCAATTTGATCTTCAATTTGATCTTGTTTAGGTTCAAATGTCAAGTCTGGAAGAATGGGAAAACCAGAATCACTACTTTCCTTATCTTCCCTGAAACTCTCCCCTTGAAGATAAGGTTGATGGAAATAGCCCTCTTGTTCATTGAAGGTAACATCCCTAGACACAAAGAATTTTTTGGATGGGGGGTGGTAGCATTTATACCCTTTTTGAGTGGGTGAGTAACCAACAAAGACACACTTTAAGGCTCTAGGATCAAGTTTTCCCCACTGCGTACTATGAATATGGACATATGAGATGCACCCAAAAACTCTTGGTTTAAGATTATTTGTAGTAGACAAGTTTGGATAGAAAGACGACAAAACTTCCATAGGGCTTTTTGATCCTAAGACTCTAGAGGGTAGTCTATTGATAAGGTATGTTCGTTGTAAGGACGACTTCCCCAGAAATTTTTTGGGACACTTTTTTGGAACAACAATGCCCGAGTCCGATTTAATAGATGTCCATTTTTCCTCTCTGCGACCCCATTCTGTTGTGGTATTTTGACACAAGAGGACTCATGAATTATACCTTCTTTTTGACAAAAAGAATTAAGGACATGATTGAAGTAATCTTTGGCATTATCTGACCTAAGCCTCTTAATATTAACACCAAACTGATTTTTTATCATGGAGTGGAAGTTTAGGAAGACGAAGCCGACTTCGATTTTTGTTTAAGTAGGAAAACCCAAGTGACCCTTGTACAGTCATCTATAAAGGTGACAAACCATCGAGTACCGAGACACATTTGGAATATTAGAAGGTCCCCATACATCAGGTATGAACAAGATAAAAAGGGAAATTGCTAATTCTATTACTTATTGGAAAAGATATACGTTTGTGCTTAGCAAGTTCACACACCTCACAATGAAGACTCTCAACATCTAACTTGGTAAACAGAGAGGGAAATATAATTTTGATCACTCCAAAAGAGGGATGTCCCAACCGACAATGATAATGCATGATTTTTTCTCTGTTGGTCATCAAGGATTCGAGATATGAAGGAGTGAGAGATTCTATTCTTGCTTGGCGAGACTTGGATCTTCGAGATAATAAAGGCCATTCCATTCTCTAGCATGTCCAATCATCCTCCCGAATCCTTATCCCGAATACACAATGATCATTGGAAAAAACAACTTTACATGACAAATCCTTTATAAGTTTTTGTATAGACACTAGGTTCGTGGACAACTTTGGGACATGGAGAACATCTTTTAAGGTTATTAAAGGATTGATTTGGATATTTCCTTGACCAGCTGCAGTTATAAGGGTTCCATCTGCTGTGGCAATTTTCTTGTTGCTGGGACATGGGGAATATGTGGAGAAGTGTTTGGCTAATGGTGTCATGTGATCTGTGGCTCCAGAGTCCAATATCCAATAATGGTTAAAAGGCGTATCTGAGACATTTAATCCAAAAGAAGGTGGAAACTTACCTGAGTATGCCAAAGAACACATACCTGTAGGTTTTTCCAGCTTACTAAGAATGGTTTTCACCCTTTCTATCTCCTCTTCCCTTGACATTATAGCAAAAGGTGCGATGCAACAACAATGCAGGCTGTCGTCTTCGGATTAAGAAAAATGCAGCAGCAATGCAGGCTACCGTCTTAGGGTTACAAAATATGCAGCAGCAATGCAGGCTGCCGTCTTGGGTTTATCGAGCGCAGACAGAGCTTCCTAGATCGGAAGCTCTGATACCATCTGGAAAAATAGATTAACTGAAATATGATATATTTTATTATTTCAATACAAAGAGATGATATAAGATATATACAAGAGACCTAAACTATTTTAGGAAATATAATAACTCTATTTTATGCTAGGATCCCTTGATTTATGGGATTGTTCCTAATTATTCAAATCTGTACAGATTACAAGGAAATATACAAATTTCCTTATTTATTCTTTCCTAAAATACTATTTGATTTCTCACAGAATGTGATAAGTTTGCAAATCAATAATGGACTTTTGCATTATGTGTTTGTTCATGTTTATTATCATATATGACCAAGGAATTATGACATGACACTTTGAATATTTGTTTCTATTAATTTTACATTTATTTATTATACATTTTTCCCTATAATTTTAGAATTTAGTATGCAATTTATTTTATCAAATTTCATTATTAATCATTTACTTAAATTTAAATTAACTTTATAATTAATTTAAAATAATTTTATTAATTAAATCACCCTTTTATTTCATTTTTACAAATTATATCAAATTTATTCTAAATTAATTTCCAGTCAAATTGATCTCTTTTTCCCTTCAAATCCACTCATTTCAATTCATTCTCTAATCTAAAAGACTTTTGTGTTGTAGTGTTTGTATATAATTACCTTTTTTTCTCATATATAATTATCTTTTACGTCTTAAAGATTGTCAAATACATATACATATTTTTCTTTGGTCAATTTATTAGACATAAAAATCCTAATTAATAAATAATCCTAACAATCCTTTTTAATAAATTTTCAAAACATTATAATTTGTGATGGTAATTAGTTTTTTTTTTTTGTTTTAAAAAAGTTGCGTTTTGGGAGTGTATTAGGTGTGCATTAGTTGAGCAACAGCATTTTCATCTCATCTGCATTCCTTTCTTTCACCCATTTGTCTTTTTCTCTTTCAATTTCAACTTCAAATTCAAATATTAGTCAAAACATTTTTTGACTAACCATCAACCACCTGGGGCAACGTAATAAAAATAACAAATCTTTTTTTTTTTTCCTTAATTTTTACGTGTAAAATAGTTTTGTACTCCATTCTTAACTGCAAGGGGAATAATTTAAGTTCTTACCTTATTTTCTTCTGTGTTAAGCAACATTGTACCCACAGTGCTACCAAGTAAACTTCACTGATTAAACGTTCCAACCAAATCAGGAACACCCTTCAAATTCCTTCGTATAATCAATCACTTTCAACCACACAAATTTAACCATAATAATCAATTCTCTCTCACATATGCAAATATTTATAAAAATTGCATACATATTAATAAATTATTAAAACAAATTTGAAGTGAACAAATTTGACTCTCACATGGTGACTCACTTTATTTTTTAAATTATTAAAACAAATAATTTACGTAAATTGATTCACTATTTTTTTTATCTGTGAACTGATACTTGGTAAGTGTAAACAAATAATATTTAATTTTTTGTCAAAATATTTTATATGTTTTAAGTGATAGTAGACTCTAAGACTACTAATTAAGTTGAGATATCACACACGCAATAAAATATAAATAAGGATTTTCTTGCAGGTTGAATTGCTTGAGTACGTGTACAAGCATGGAAGTTTGCCAAGTGTTGACACATGAAGCATGAAGAGGAGGATCAAGTTGCAGAGTGTTACCAAAAAGGCTACCCACAAGTTTTCTCATAAATGAGTGGACCTACAACAAAACTAGATTAATATTCAAATCAATAGAATATAAGATAAAATCAAATAACTAGGTAGTTATTAATAATGTGCCTAATCAGAAAGTAACGTGTGACATTAAAACTGTACAAACTGTCCTGACTTACCTAAACTTAGGTAATCAGCCACATCCACTTCTCATCCTCCTAGTCATACCACAAAAAAGGTGTTTTGACACTCAAACTTTCAGTGTTCAGACATTCTTATTCCTGTAACAATTTCAACCAAGCAAACATCTCTAAAGCCAACACAATTGCAAACATTTCAGCTCACCAAATCAAACTGATTATGCAAAACTAAGCACGCCAAGAAACACAAGGCATGCAATGCACCGCTTCATATAACTTACATGACCAACGCCACCCCACAATGTTACCCTTCAAAACATACCAATCCCATGCATTCCCTCTGTCCTTTTCATTCCAACACCATGACCAAACCAAGAACCCTCAGTCTCACCTTCTTCATGCAAGACATCCAAATTTTGGAGATTTTTCTAGCGGTTCTTGTCTTCGTACTCATTCATGCTCTTAGACAAAAGAAGCATCATGGCCTGGTTGTTTGGCCTGTCCTTGGAATGGTTCCTTCTTTGGTCACAGGACTTAGAACCAACTTGTATGAATGGATCACAGAAGTGCTCAAAAGGCAAAACAGGACATTCAGATTCAAAGGGCCTTGGTTTAGCAACCTCAACTGCATTGTCACTGCTGATCCCCGCAACCTGGAGCACCTTCTCAAAACCAAGTTCCCTCTCTTCCCTAAGGGAGGATACTTCAGGAACACAGTTAGAGACCTACTAGGAGATGGTATATTCGGAGCAGACGATGACACCTGGCAGAAGCAAAGAAAAACAGCAAGCATTGAGTTTCATTCAACAAAGTTCAGAAAATTAACGACAGAATCCTTGCTGGAGCTAGTCCACTGCAGGCTCTTGCCTGTGTTAGAGTCATCGGTTAAGAAATCTGTTGCAATAGACCTCCAAGACATTCTCTTAAGGCTAACTTTTGACAATGTTTGCATGATAGCCTTTGGTGTTGATCCAGGTTGTTTGCGCTTAGGTTTGCCTGAGATACCATTTGCCAAAGCCTTTGAGGATGCAACAGAAGCTACAGTGTTTCGTTTTGTTACCCCCACGTGCGTTTGGAAGGCCATGAGATTTCTTAACCTGGGGGTGGAAAGGAAGCTGAAGAAGTCCATAAAAGGGGTTGATGAGTTTGCTGAGAATGTCATTCGGACTAGAAAGAAGGAACTCTCTTTGCAATGTGAAGACACTAAGCATAGGTCAGATTTGTTAACTGTGTTCATGAGGCTGAAGGATGAGAATGGAAAACCCTATTCGGATAAGTTTTTGAGGGATATATGTGTGAACTTTATATTGGCAGGGAGGGACACTTCTTCGGTTGCTTTGAGTTGGTTTTTCTGGTTGCTTGAACAGAATCCTGAAGTGGAGGAGAATATTCTGGCAGAGATATGCAGGATGGTGAGTCAAAGGAAAGACATAAAGAGGGAAGAGTTTGGTAATTCTTTGATATTCAGGCCAGAGGAGGTCAAGAAGATGGATTATTTGCATGCTGCTTTATCAGAAGCTCTCAGGTTATACCCTTCTGTGCCTGTGGATCACAAGGAGGTAATTATTCAATTTTTGTCACACTCATTCCTTTTCCATTCCAATTGCAATAAGCTTTACGAATAATTCCATTTTGGTTATTAACCAAGAGTGTATATATATCACACAGAATATATTAAAGGTATCTCTTTTAGCCCTTTTGAGATGTAAATTTCATCTCAGCAGTGCATATTCATTGTCTAGTAAAGTCAGGGCAGTTTGGTTTTAGAGTTGTTATTCATTTAGAATTAAAATTTTATTTGGATAATTTAAATAATAATTTTTTACGTAAAGGTCAACATAGATGACAAGAGATAATTCTCGTTAGAAAACAGTACCAAAGCACATAAGAAATAGTATTGTACTCCTATCTAAGTTTATTCTAATACGTCTTTGTTGAATCTGTTTCTTCAAGCGACCATGAGTTTTTCTTAACTTCTGCGAGCTACTAGGTATTATTAGGTCTATCTAACACCCTCATAAAATTTGGCACAGGTCACAACAATGAAAAATTATTCATAAAAAAGTGGGAAATCCTAGAATAGTTTAATGCCTTTTGGGTCAATTTTGACTTAAAGTCTGTCAAATTTTATTGTCAAAGCATGCATCTGACAAGTCGGTCAAACACCCACATGCTTAGTAAATACTGTAGTAAGAAAAATCACACAATTCAAAGTGATATTGCAAGCAGCTAGGAGTGATGCAAATGTGCAATTATAAATTTTTCAGGTAGTCGAAGATGATACATTCCCAGATGGAACGGTACTAAAGAAAGGGACAAAAGTCATCTATGCAATCTATTCAATGGGAAGAATGGAAAGCATATGGGGGAAGGACTGGAAGGAGTTCAAGCCAGAAAGGTGGCTAAGAGATGGGAGGTTCATGAGTGAATCTGCTTACAAATTCACTGCATTCAATGGTGGTCCTCGTTTGTGCTTAGGCAAAGATTTTGCATACTACCAGATGAAATATGCTGCGGCCAGCATCATATTCCGGTACCGTGTGAAGGTGGTGGAGAATCACCCTGTGGAGCCAAAGCTTGCCTTAACCATGTACATGAAGCATGGCTTAAGAGTTAACCTATATAGGAGGGATGTTGCACAAATTCACAAACACTTAGAGGAGGGCTTCAAATAAACTAATTAATGATGGTCATGCATTATTAGTAATATCTTTTTAGTTTGTTTTGAAGTACAGAATGATAAAGAAACTGAATTGGCTAGATATAGGGCTGAGAAAATACTAAATAATGGGGTTCATAATTGGTTGGTTATTCCAGAATTGTATTTCCTCATGAAGTGTATTATCATCTGTGTGAATTAGATAGACAGTATTTTTGTCAACCTTTGACTCTGTTATTTTTTATCTTTAAGGAATAAATTCCTATCACTTGATTTATTGATCATTCTATATCATGTTTGTGTAGCATTATTTATTCTCGTAGAAAATATCCTACAAAAATTGTAAACACCCATCAATATCATCAGTCTATAATTCGCCAAAAACAAGTCTTGTATTTACCGGTAGATATCCTATCAACGGGAACGGCACATTTTCCTTTTACTAATTTGTTCTTTTGGATTATTTCCAAAAAGGATTCATAGTTCCTACATTTTTGTCTCCATGCTTAATCCTTAGTTCTTACAAGAGAATTATTCTTGCACTAGGATCAAAAACCTCATTACTGGGGGTCCACAATAAGCAAGATCTCTGGTTGCTAAACACACTTGAAATCCATCAGCACTACTACATATGCAATTCAGAAAACGCCATTGCACAATGACACAGCAGTTTCCATGAGTGGATAGGATGACGAACGCTACTGATCCTAGGATTGTATAATTTATCAGCAGAACAGTGTGCTTAAGCGGATGATTCTGGGAAGAATTGTTTAACCAGTTCACAATGTTTGTAACCAACAAACAAGTTCACAATATAGTCTAACATCCATAACCAGCTACGATATGGGAATCCGGAGGAGAAAACTATACTGAGAGCATGAAACGCAAATGAGTCATGGATTGTTCATAACTAGATTTGAACATTTCCCAGCATCTCAAACCAGCTTGGAGCTCCATTATTAAGAAGCTCTAACCCTATACTTCAAAGGAAGGAAATGAATAAAGATAACAAATATTTATCAGCTTAAGCCATTCCATTCGTCATAGAACTCTTTCACAAACTCCTCCATGAACTTATGCCTTCTTTCAGCCCTCCTTTTCCCAGCCTGAAATATGTAGCTGATATTCAAATTCCTTGACAGACTTAAATATATGCATGCATTTCTAGAGACTTCATAATTAGCATTTATTTCATGACAGACTTTACAAAAGAATGGACACTTTGGCCTTTATCAAAATTTGGTAGTTCAGAAAAATAGTTATTCGTTTTGCCATACCTTGGTTTTCATCATATCTTTGAGCTTGAGAAGCTTCTCATGAAAATGATTAATAGTAGTCTGTTCCTCTTTGTTCATGTATTGCTCCTTGGACAAATCAGATCGTGGCAGAATGGCAGGATCATGCAGCAACCTGTTCCTACTCCCACCGAAGGTGAAGCAACGTGCAATTCCTGACATTGAGAGAACAGACTGGAGTAACAGACTGGAGTAAGACATTTCCCATTTATACTTTTCATACCTCGCTTTTAACACCCATTTTAAACCACTCTCCTTCACTCATTACATCACTTATATCAACCATCACTTTTTTTCCTATCTTCCTATGTTTCTCTCTAAGGTTATAGACAACCCATTAGGGTGTAAAAGAACTCACTTTGCTATGCTTTAATATCCCAGTTACTGCTCCAGCTTTAGAAATTGAGGTTTTGATCACTTATATTTATTTAATTAAACTTTGGAGCACCCTCTACCCGAAAGCTGAAACGCAGCTAATTTGACAAGATACCTATAGCACCAATGGCATCAAGTCGATCAGCATCTTGTACAACTCCAAATTCTGGAAACCAATCACTGCTTCCATTTCCAGTCACCTCTTCCTTGAAACCTGAATATTGGAAGCGACATCTGTTTTAAGTATTTTCTAGTAATAGAAATGTAATTCACAAAGTGGTAGAAGAAAGTTATGGTTAAGACCACACATTCAAGTGCAGAAATTTACCAATCCTTGTTGGGAATACACAAGAGATACTGAGAAGTGTAGGAAGTAGGAAAAATCATCCTAGGAAAAATGCACATTTTCTTCTTAATATCTAGCACCTATAAAAGATAGTTATAAATGCCCAAAAGCTTCGAAGCAGAATTTCTTCCTAATTGGAATATAGATAATTAACAGACCCGAGATATCTTTGTGTCCTTAATATTCCTTATCCCAATACCCATCAAAAAGCACCAACTAAAAAGAACTTTCGAGGAAGATCAAAAAGAAAGGAAGATATAAAAAAAAAATCAAAGATAACATCAAGCGTAAAGAAGATATAAGCAAAACATTTTCCCACATTACAACTTGAAATAACATCAATTAAAATCAAACAAAAACAAAAGGTATTAAGTAACAACGTGGCTGAGACAAAAGATTTAAAACTTCCCTCAAACTCACCCATTCCTCTGATGATCTTCAAAATTTTTAATTTCTTGTCCTCCTCGACTCCCTCTTGTTCAAGAAAACTCTCAACAATCTTTTCTTCAGATGGGTCCCTGGATCACAAAGTAGTTTGCTCAAAAAGAAAAGGAAACACAAAATGATAAAGTGAAAAAAGAGAGTTAAAAACAAGCAAATCCTTTTGCCGAATGGTGGGTTTATAACGGGAATGAATTGAAACTACAGCACTTTGTTGTATTGTAAGAAGTAACAAGATAAGACCCTCATGCTCGAAGTGAATTGATCATAGATTACAAACAGAAGAGATGTAATTTAAGGATAGTAAGTTTTCAAACCTAAGGTATTTGTAGTCAGCTATGTCGTGGAGCAGTGCAGCAAGCTCAACCTAGGAGTAAGAACATGATGGCAACTTGAAAATGGAATAAAAGAAGGAAGAGATGAAGGGTATGAATGGCGAAAGGAGTGAAGAGAAAAGTTACGATTTGTATGGAGTTAGGATCGGAAGAGATGCCTTCCTCATTGGCAAGGGAGAGAGCAAGGTCGCGAACTCTCCAAACATGAGCTGCGTCATGGGAAGCATCGTTCCCTTTCATCGCCTTCACCACCAGAGCCTCTGCATTTCTTCTTACCCTCTCCATGTCCATTGGTTTTTTGATAGACATTGTTTATTGATACGAGTTTGGGAGGAGGATATTAATCATGATCTTAAACTTTTGACCAAGAGCTTATAAGAAATTTTTATTAAAAAATATGTTTTAATTTTCGGAATTGAAAGTTGTATAAAACTCTGCATCTTAAAAAATATTATTATATGTTAAATATTATTAAAAAATTGTCAAACCACCTGTTCATAATAATTTCAATCGTGATCATTACGGTACCAGTTTATATAATTTGATTAGTTTAATCATCTTCAAATGATTTAGTTTTCATGAGTTTAATTATATCTTTAAATAATTTTATTTTCATGCATTTAATTATTTACAAATATTGTGAAACCGTAATCTTAATTTTTCCAGTCTGTTTCGTGTTAATTGATCATTTTTCAATTTTATTGTTTATGTGTCACTTTTTACGAGATAATTTAATATTACTAAATGAATCAATTTATTACGGGTTCTTTTAGTTTAGAAAATTTCTTCCCGTCATAAATATTATCATTCAATAATTAATATAATATTAATTTTTATAAATCATCTTTCATATATTAATTAAATTTTTAATATAAATTTCAGTAAAATATAATTTTTATAAATGATCTTTGAATTTTCAATATAAATTCTAAGTAAAATAAATAAATGGACATAAATTTACCATATTATTAAGGATAAAACAAAAATTAATAAAAAAATACAATAAGAAATGACCAAAATTATTAAGAACTTTATTGAAATAGTCATTTCTTATTGGCGGCATATTTTTAATATATAAGTTTCTTCCAATAATTTGTCATCCCGAATTATACTTATTTCATCCTATTTATAATTTATTCTATATAATTGTTAGGGAGATAAAAGAAAATATAATAATTAAAATAAAATATAAACAATTTCTTCACCCATAACCATTTTCTCATCCTTCAAGAGCGGTCTCATTGACATATAGAACATATAATCATTTATGTTACATAATGAGTTATAACAACTTGTGCATGTCCCTCTAGCATGTAACTCCTTTTTCGATTCCTTCTTCGATTGGATAATTGCCTATGGATCCATTCATTAATATAAAATAAGGTTTTTATGTCTATTATTTTGACTTTTTATGTCAGATATAACTTTGACGTTAATACGAGAGATGTAAATTTACGTCGGACCAGGACCTAACTGCGTAAATTTATGTCGGATCTAGGGTATAACCGACGTAAATTTACATCGGATTTAAGGTATAATTGACATAAATTTACATTGGACTCAAGGTATAACCGACATAAATTTACGTCGGTATTAACATACCTTACGTAAATTTCGTCCTTTTTTTTTTTAATATTCGATTTGCTTTGTTTTACTGCCAATCTAAATTCCATATTTCAATAGACAATAATTAAAAAATACAACGATACAATACATTACAAAGCTAAACTAATACAAAGTCTAAATTAATACAAAAACTAAACTACCTCTATGTTAAACTGCATAATACAATACAAATAATAACCTACAAACTAAGTACTAAAAATGTTGGATGAAAAACTTTGTTCATTACTCTTTAATTTGTGTAATATCTTGTTTTGATAGTGGAGATAGATCTTAAAATACCTGAAACATTAATTTGACTCTTATTAATATGCAATACGTATAAAAGTAAATGAACTTAACAAATGTTAAAAGTAATTACCTCCGTCAAAAAATCAGTTATACCGGCACAAACTATGGTTCTCACCCAATACATGATGTAAATATAGTAGCCACATTCAAAAGAATCGATTTTGCTTATTACACTAAATTAAGAAAAAAAATGTTATTTTCAAAATTTAAAAGAGTATAGACATTATAATAATATAACATTTTTCTCTTTTTAACTACTTTTGTCTATTACATGTGGTTAGAAGCATATTTTGCAAATCCCTTTGGTAGGCATGGCAACGGGGCGGGGCGGGGGCGGGTTTTGCATCCCCGATCCCCGCGCCTGACTTTTTTAACCATCCCCGTCCCCGCCCGATCCCCACCGGGGTTAGAAATTAAGTCCTCATCCCCGTCCCCATTGGGTTTCGGGTTCCCGCCCAGTCCCCGATTTATATTATTTTAAAAAAGATAATTACATTTATAATAAATTAATTTTACTATATATTTTTTATATATAAATAAATATTTATAATTTATAATTATTATTAATTAAATATACATTTTAATTTATTATATTCATATTAAAATATGTATGTAAAAGAAATATTTTATTATTTTTTATTTATAATATTATTATTATTATAACACAGTATTCAAATATTTGAATATTTATAACATTATTATTATATTACTTGTATTCAAACATTTGATTATATATATATATATATATATATATATATATATATATATATATATATAAAAGTTAATTCATTTTTAAGTTGTCATTTAAAAATATGAAATATATAGTTTATAAGGAAATATTTAATAAGTTAATTCCTATTTAATTAGTTCGAAGTAATAAAAATTTAAATTATCAATTCCTTTAATCCTTTAAAATACAATTATTTTATTAAGATAAAATTTGATATATGATAAATAAGAATAATAAGATAAAAAAATATGACATAATAAAACCTAATAAATATAAATTATAAATAAAATAATATTAGTTACTACTAAGATTTTATGTAAAATATTTAGAAAAAGATAAAGAATAAAAAAATTAACTTTGTATTCATCAAATTGGTTGAAAAGATTGAAAAAAAAAACAAATTGATGGGAGAGATTAAGGAAATGTGAAAAAAATGAAAGGTAAGAGAAAGAATAATGTAATAAATTAATTGATATAAAAGATTAAAAAAGAAAAAAAAGTAAAAAGTGGGTAAAAGAAAATTTTTTTGGTAAAATATAAAAAAATGACCTTATATGTAATAGAAAAAGAAAAGAAAATACTTTTAAAATATTAATATTTTAAAATTTAAATTTAAATATAAAGTCGGGCGGGGACGGGAACGAGGTCGGGGTGGGGATTGCATTACTCATCCCCGCCCCGCCCGACTTTTTAAAACGAGAAAAACTCGAACCCGCCCTGCCCCGGTCAACTCGGGTTTTCCCAGTCAAACTCGGGCGAGGACGGGTCGGTCCCCACGGGTACGGATTTAATTGTCATCCCTACCCTTTGGCGGTTTGCCCCCTCTTCTTTGTTTTTTTTCCTTTGTTTTCATATGTTGTACGTCTAAATTCGACATTTGAGTCAAAACTTATTATTCTTCAAACATTATCTGTTTTCTTTTCATCATCATAAAATCATAAACCCTATATATTGTATAATATTCTCTTCACATCATACCATATCATTTTATTTCTTTCTTACTCATTACTATTATATAATTAATATATAAACAACAAAAAACATGAGATTCAAATAACTAAACCATGAAAACATAAAAATGCAATATATAACCGTAAATCGACTCAAACGCATGAATGGATAATCGCAAACTACAACAATTCAATTTCAATAACAATCCAGTAGAGATATTTATGCAATAAAATGATTGAAAGTTCATTCATCAAGTTGGATATGGAGGTCAAAGTCAAAGTCAAAGTCTATCATGAGTAACTCTCAAATCAACTCCACCTTAAACAAAACACTCTCAAAATCACAATCACTGGTATGTTAATTATGTTCTCAACATGCATCACCACAAGAAATTTTATAATTAGCTAGGAAAATTAGCTACAAAATTTATTTTCCACTAATTTGTAGCTAATTAGCTATGGAATAGTGAAAGAATAAGGTTGTAGCTAATATGTAGTAAAATAGCTAGAAGATTAATATTTTTGTAGCTATTCTCTCACTTAACAAAAAAATAATTTAGTTAGGAAAATTTTTGTCACTAATCACTCACTATAAATATTAGTTATATTACTTTTTGAAGCTATTTCCTAACTAAATTGTGTAACATACAATTATAGTTAAAGCTGTAGCAAATTTATAGCAACTATCAAATTGAAAAAAAAATATTAAATTATTGAGAACCATTCTTATAAATTATTTTAGTTTTATAAAAAATTATTTATAAAAATACTTGTAAATTTCTCTAAAAATATATAATTATAAAAAATAATTTTTGATCTTTTTGAAAAAAATATCAATAAAAATTAATTACAATTTTTTCTTAAAAATTTATTTTTACCAAATTTACTATAAATATATAATTATATATATATATATATAAATTATTTTTTTACCCGAAATAAATTATTTAGAAATAATTATAATTTTTTTGAAAAAATATCTAAAATATTTGATAAATATTTAAAATTATTTTTTGTAAGTTTTTTATAAATTTAAATTTGTTAGAAATATTTAATAATATTTAAATTTAATATTTAATAATATCTAATAGTATTTTTCTATAGTATCTACCATTAAAGAAATTCCACCCATGCCTTCATTTGTTTAATATAAGCTACCACACCCACATGTTTTATTTAAATTGATTCTCTTTTGATTGGTATGCAAAGATCACGCCACGACAACCGCAGGTGAAGAAGAGTCGCCGCGGCCGAGGTCGCGGAGCTCGCGATGATCGCGGCGTTACTTTCTACCGCAGAACCGGACGATGGGAATCACACATTTGGTTAGTGGATTTTTGAAGTTTTGCTTTGTGATATAACACCTTTCCGTTAGTTACTTGAACAAGTTGTGTGGTTTTCTTTTGTGCGGGGATTGTGGGAAACAAGTGTACTTGGGTGAGGACGCGATTAGAGGATTCGTTTTATATTATGTGCTTCACCTTTCTTCAATATCGCTTCTTTTTCTTTGTAGGTGGATTTGACACGGCGCATGCCGCGGCTAGGTAATTTCATTTCTATCATTTTCGTGCTTAGGTGTTTTTGGTTTTGTTTAAGCGTGCAAAATGTTTCCTGTGGTTTTATAAATATTGTAATAATTTTGTTTCGGGGCATATGATCGAGCTGCGATCAAGTTCCGCGAGGTTGATGCGGACATCAATTTTAACGTGACTACG